GTTTGATTTTGAGGAAGGCTAAGGTTTATCTGCACCGCTGTAATGGCCAGTGTACTGGTGTATAATAAAATAAATCCCTACATCTAGGAATTTTGAGCTTGAGAATCATTTTTGGAACATCAGACAATATCCAGGTAGACCACAGCGCGAGCAAGGTTGGCAAAGATTGTTCCCAGTGAGGATCCTAGTTAAGATCCATTTACTTTGTATGTCTAACATTGCACAATACTGTGTAAATGTATCCATCTTGTGATTCTGGTAAACATTTTTTCTCCTTTCTGTTAAAAAAAAAAAAAAGTCAGCCTCTGACAGAGGTTTTAGTTATGTTGCTATGGTGCAGGATGCTGCAGTACATAGAATCTTGAATCTACAACATTATGGGATTTCTTAAGATATTTCTTCACCCAATCCTTTTTAAAGGGGATAGTGCCAGCAGGAGCAATTTAAGGTCATGTGTGGAAACTATGATGGTAGCTGACTGGGATATGGCGACTTTGTCTTAGGGGTGGTTTTCTAGTCCAGGATCATGTGATCTAGCCTATGGAGATGTAACATTTTAAAATTAATATGATTTTGAGATAGTGCATTTTTCTAAAATTAGAAACATTTGATACGTTTCCGTTTACTAGATGACCCATTTCCAGCTTGGGAGGGTGTTCAGCTTGATTCTCTAAAGCTTGCTAGTGAGTCCATTGCATCTTGATTACCCCTCTCCATTCATGCTGTGATGAAGTTCAGATTGTTCTCATTCTTAAAATTTCTCCATAGGTTTCCTTAGTCCACCTCATACTGTTTCACTTCACGCTTTGTGAAACTTGTTGCTTTCTGTTTATTTTGATCTCTGATGCTTTTCTTTGCATATTTGCAAGACAAAAGAAAGAGCGCCTTCTGTGTTAGCAGGTAGTTACTCTTAATTTTAGAAAAGACTTGTCAGTAGAATTGTGACTCAACTGACTTCAGAGGATCCTTGTTTATTTTCTGTTCCTTTACAGTATAGTGACACAGCCAAAATGTGAAATAATTACTAATTTACTTAATACAGCGGTGTGTTTTCAGCAAGCTTTCTGAGAAAAGACCCTATGCCTTTTGTCTGGAATGCCTGTTGACAAAAACAGAATTTTCTCTCTTATTCTGCGAGAAACGGTATCAACTAGCTGCAGTGTCCATTTATAGCCTCCACAAGCTACCTATGGGTTTTCCAACTGCTGTAGGTAATTTGACTACCCAGTAAGCAAGCAGGCTTTCTAATCCTTCTGAGCAACAGAGGAGGACATCCAGTTCCAACTGAATGCCATCATCTTGAATGCCCTGCCATATACCAAGTATATCTGACCGGCTTTGCTGTAAGTTGTTCTCATGTACGTTGTAGGGATTAAATAAATAAAAATAATAATCTCTTTATAAAAAAGTCCTGTGGGGTAAGGGAAGAGAGTTAATATTCTCGAGCAGGAGTGTAGGTCTCTCCTATTAATAATGAGCTGCTGCATACTCTCCAAAGGATGCCTTAATCACTAGTTGTGTGCTGCTGTGGCCGGAGGCGTGCCTCACCGGACATCACAGTAATGGGCATCGGGAATACAGAACCCTATAACCTGTCTTGTTCCATTGTCACAAGTGGGACTAAAGGTTTATGGAGCAATCAGCCTTAGTCTGTATAGTGTTTTCAGTATAATTTGACAATATTTTTTGATGAACGAGGGGAACTTTGTCAAAGAAGTGTTTGTTCTGTTTGCGGCTGGGATAGCACTTGACAGTTGCGGCCAAAATGTCTTTTGCTCTGGGTTTGGTTTGTTTGTTGGGGTTTTTCTGAGGAAAATCCAGGATGTGGAATAAACCTTTCTCCAGGCTGCTGCTTTTGGCTAAAACAGCAGTATTTCTAACAGTTCAAGAACTGGAATGCTCTGCCTAAATTACTTAGCAAAAACTAGTGACCTCTCTGTTAACGGCAGATGTACAGCCTAGTTAATATGTCACAGTAGCAGAATGAGGGGGCTAAATTGGACATGAGCTATCAGCTGCAGAAGTACAGTCCAGATTTATCAGGGTGACCTTGAATCACTGCAAATGGAGCCTCTTAGGATACTGCAGCTCTGCTGTCAGGTAATACCTGTTTACACTATAAATATCTTCAGGGAATTAAAGTTTCAGGTCTCTGTGCTGGGGCAGGCAGAAACTTACCCCTCAAGATGCAAGAAGTTAATTAGTGTTTCATTAGATATTGTGCACCCAGCAGGATGTTATGCAGCAGAAATAACGATTAAATGAATTGAAAGAAAGCCAGTGGGAAAATGTCAATGCAAAAATGATCATACAACAGTTTTATCTTTTTACGTATCACGTTTGAAATACATGGGCACCCAATATGCATGTTAGTTTCTGCTATTTTAATTTGCTTCAGATCTTGCTGTTAGAAGCTGGGGGGGGGGGGGGGGGGGGGGGCAGCGTAGCTAAACAAAGACAGCACTGGAGGCCCAGTGCTGGTCCAGTTGTCAACATGTAGCAAAAGGAAAAAAAGTCAGATGGTCTTCTCATGTGAAGAAAGGATCTAATCTGGTGTGAGCAGGGACAATAGCAAGAGGAAGTTGGAGGGACCACAGTCATCTTTTCAGGTTACTGAAGTACAGCAGGATGATGGTGCACATCTAAAAGGCATTAAAAGATGCAAGGAGAGCCACATATGCCAGCAGTATGGTCTTTTTGGCATCTACCTTCTGAAAAATATTTTAAAGCCTTATGTTTAATCTATTAATCATTTAAGGTTTCTTTTCTCCTCTGTTGGAGATGTTGTATTAGATGTTGCAAAACAAAAGCACTGCTGGCCTGTGTTAAAACAGGCATAACTTATTATGGAATACTATTGTTCTCAAGAGTAAAGAATGTTGGGGTTTTTTTTTTTCTTTTTAGTTGACGTTTTGACTCAGCATTCACAAGTTTTTTTATTATGTTGATTAAAAAATAAAGTGATTTGCAAAGAATTCATTATTGTCGCTTGCATTCGTTTTGGTGATGTCTTTACTAGGATATCGTCCACAACCCTCAATGCAAATCTGGGTTTGGTTGTGCAGGGCACTATGCAAACCTTATGGAAATACACAATCCCTCATTCACAAGTTGGATATAAAATGGCGATTCCAATTTGGTGGGGTGTGCTTTGGTAGTAAGTGAAATCATACTTATATGTGAAGTAGAGTAGACGCTGTTTCTTTTCTAGCTTCAAGTAGGAGCTGTTTAGAAACATTCAGGTTATTTGGATCATGACTGTTAACCTGCACATTTGCTTTGCCCAAGTAAAGGGTAGGAAAGTTGCAAAACTCCCCTGCAAAAAGGAGTTTATAGCAGGGATAGGAGTTTGGAGATGGCAGTTCAGAGGCAGCAGTGTGAAGTGGCAAGGGGGAAGGCCAAAAGCTGCAAGATCTTGTTAACAAAGCTCAGGTCCAGGAGCCACTGGTCTGAATTTAACGTGTTCTTTAGGTACTTGCTCTTAGTCCGAAGTTGGTGGCTGGTGAATATTTTCTCAGCTGTTTAGTTTAAAATCGGTATCTTCTTTTGTATAAAATGTTCAGAGTACAGTAGGTTAAAATGATAATTTGCTTTGTATGGCAGCACTGTTCTTTAAGCCATAAAAAGCTCTTTCAGTCTCAGTTCCACACCAGCTAAGGCAACAGCGGAAGGAATGCCAGTTCTATCAGAATAGGTTTTATATAAATAGGCTTTTCTGATTTAGAGCAGAGTTTCACCCCCAATCCCACCCCCGATAAAGAAAAGTACTCCTTTAGCATATTGTAGCCAGTCTAGAAAACCCTAATGCCAAAGATTTGTGCATTTTGTCAGGTTAACCTGTGTGAGTACTAGAGATCCAAACTGGTCCAATGTAAGTCCCTGGAGTCCTTGTTCCATTGCACTGAATATTTGTCAGCTTCCATGGTAAGAACCAATCTGCAGTTGGTTAGAATACAACTGGTGACCGTTCCTTTTGACGGCAGCGCTGGCTCGATGCTGGCAGTGCTAGCACTGCTTCTGCAATGCTTCAGTGCTGGTAGAACTGCATGGCTACATGGAGAACGGGATCAGGAAAATTACTTGGATTTTTTTTTTTTCTTTTCTGCCAGCTTATTTTTATCTCTTAAATTATGTAATTATTCCATAACTTGATTTTTCTGCTTGGATTCTGTCCCAGACAATTGTTAAGATTCAGTAGCTATGGGGAACATAGAAACAGCCTTTTTTTTTTTTTTTTTAATATGTGCACTGTAGCATAGTAAATGGAGAAAATTTCATCAGTCTTTTGTGGCTTGGGGATGGGGTGTGGGAGTATGCCTTATTAGACATCTCCCCAAAGAATGAAAATTGTATGTAGGTACTTTGAGCTAGCTATAGTGAACAGCATTTGGAGCTATTGCTTTGCGTGGATATGCTGAGTCATTTCAGAAAGAAATGCTTCTAAAATACTGAGCAATAGACATCTAGGTCTCTGGTGTCCTATGGACCTTTTGACTAATTTTCAAATGTAATCTGAAAACCCATATTCCCTTCTTGTTTGTATCTAGATTATTCTTCTGCACCTTCTTTCTTTGTGCACAGAATAAGCTACTCTGCTTCCTCGGAGTTTTCTTAATGGCTTCGCATGTAATCCTACTTATGGACAGTCACTTTCGCCGTCTTCCAAGATGAGTCTGTGAAAAACAGGCTATTTTGCAGTGACTAGTTAATAAGCTAGATGCAGTATTATATCACACTTCGGTAAGTTATCACAGCAAAGATGCTCGTCTTCAAGGCTACTCAAGTGTCTGTGGTCCAGCCGTCACAGGGAGTCAGAGCACTCCGTACTGAGTTACACATGAATGTATGAATGTTGCCTTTCAACGTCTGATTTTTCAGATCATGTCATGAGGCAGAACTATAGCTTACTGAATTTCCTTTCTTTGGGATTTTGTTAGACTCTTAAACCTTGAGTCTCTCCTGTGTTGCAGCTTGTACAGTGACCTACTTGTATCTTTCAGATAAAGAGAAGGAGAAGATAAAGCTTGAGGAAGATGAGACAGCAGCTGCTAGCACTATGGCAGTCTCGGCTTCCCTTATGCCGCCCATTTGGGACAAAACTATTCCTTATGATGGCGAGTCTTTCCACCTGGAGTACATGGATCTGGATGAGTTCCTGCTGGAGAATGGAATTCCTTCCAGCCCTACTCACCTGGATTTGAACCAGAATCCACTCTTGCCTGTGGCTGAGCTGGAAGGAAAGGAGTCTGCCAGTGCTTCCACTGGTTCTCCTGCATCATCCTCTTCCACTGCAGTTTACCAGCAATCTGAAGCAGCCTCCAGCACAGGTAGATGGAATAATACGGGGCTCTGAGGGACTTTTGTTGTTCTCGTATTAAAAAGTGCCTCTGTAGATCAAAGAGGAGACATGCTAACCTGTCAGTGTTAGCTGTGGCAGGTTAAGTAGCACAAACATGCTCAATGTAGAGCCTTAGTCCATGTGTCAATTCACGAAGATGCTGCCTCTCTTCTTCTTCCCCTCTCCCCCTCCTGGAAAAAATTAGTGTGTCTCAGTGTGCAGTCTGTTTCTCTTTTGAAATTAGAAGAGCTGAAATACCGACAGAAAGTATTTGCTTTCTTGATATTGCTAATCTAGTGAAAAGCTGGACGTGTTGAGAAAATAGTTTCTCAGGTTATTTTACAACAGATTTGATAGTTTGTGAGAAGTCATTTGTGCTGCCTTGGTGGCTTGGTCTGCTTGGGTGAACTTATGCTAACTTAATGTACCTCATATAACAATGCTTAACAGAAAAACAATTAAGCAATCTTTTCATGCTAGCCTGTGAAATGTGAGAACAGACACTTGGAAAAGGTGTGTTAATGGTGCAGTTCTGTGGTGCTTTGAAGTGGGAATGGAGGAACAAAGAAACAAAACTGTACTTCAGTGGTACTAGGAAACTTCTACTCTTCATTTGTAGTATGGAGATGTTATTAAAGAATTTAGCAGCTCAATTTGCTCTGCATTTGGAGTTTAAACATGATAGCCACTAAACTTTCACAGTACTATTTTTATGAGCAGACTTTACAGAAAGCATTTTGCTCAGGGCCTCTTCTGTGAATCTGTGAGAGAAAGGCAAAATGTGGAACTCCTTCGATAAGACATAGGATGTGGCTTTTTTCTAGGTGGTATATGAAAAAACTTATTCATTGATCACTACTTCAGATTGCACTGACATTTGCAATTCATGTGTATGAAGTTTGTAAACAATAGATAAATATGACAAAGCTCATATGAACGCTATGAGCATCAGACAATCTGTTGGGACGTTTGTTTCCATGTGGTGAAGAAGTAGAATACTGTTGCGTTTGTAACAAACTCACCTTTATCTAGTCCTTTGTTCGGAAATACAATTGTCTGACCTTTGAAGGACCCAAGGACCGGGCTCTTCAGGCAGGCTTGTTTCCATAAGGCTTTCTGTGGCACAAAACTCAGGCTGGTACAAGTTTCTCATTTCTCACTGCTGTGGAAGGCACTTCCTAAGTATGCAAAGCACACAGTTTTTGCTGAGGAAGTGTTAAGTCTTGTCCTGCATCTCTCTACTCATGTCTGTTAGTCTGGCATATCTTCCTAGAGTTTGTATTACAAACTGGACTGTGTAGCTTCTCTCTGTACCAGCAGCTGTACAGCACCAAGCACACCTTAGGGAAATACCAAATAATACTATTAAATACTGCCCACAGTAAGGCAACCCCAGTTGGCTTCTTAGTTAATTCTCTTCATCCTGCTGAATGTATTGTAACTTCTCCTGTTGTTGCCAGAGTCCCCACCACAAAATGAGAGAAATACTCCCAGCCCCATTGATCCTGACTGCGTAGAAGTTGAGGTGAACTTTAACCCTGACCCTGCTGACTTAGTGCTGTCCAGCGTGCCTGGTGGTGAGCTCTTCAATCCTCGCAAGCACAAGTTTACTGAAGAGGACCTGAAACCACAACCAATGATTAAAAAAGCCAAGAAGGTTTTTGTCCCAGATGAGCAAAAGGTAACAGATTTATTGCTGCAAACTTCTCTAGGCCTTGATCAAAGTTTCCGACTCTTTGCCCAAACACTTTGACATATAAAGCTAATGCGCTATACCTACATGATTGGGCAGAAGCACTGCCAAGAATAGAATTGGCAAGTCAACTGCTGTTTTGCTGGTTTGGTATCATGAGATAATTACTGTGCAGGAGCAACTTACCATGCTATACACAGAAATTAGAAGAACTGTCAAGTCACATCCTCATCAACTGCACTTTTGAAGGCCATTGTATATATTTGCCCAGCATTATGTCTGATCCAGCTTTAAGCAGCCCAGACAACAGAACAGGTTGTTTTCTGTGGAAGTTCATGCCTGAATTGAAACAAAGTAAAGGGAGCATTTCAGCTGGACAGCTTCTTAGTAGCCAAGTCTCTTAATCTCCCTAGTTCTAGCAGTGCACTTGGTTTATCCTAAAACAAGACTCGTGTAAGGATGAAATCCTACAGTACTGTGTTGCCTGCATTTTGGTGTCTGAGCTCTGCAAACCAATGAAGGAGATTCTTCAATGTAGCAGTCAGTGTAAATGTCATTATACGACAAAGAGGTGTCTACTTGATACAGTTGTCGGGTTGGCATCTCTTTTTTTTTTTTTTTTTTTTTTCTTTTTTGCTAAGGGATGAAAATATTGTGTCTACTTGATACAGTTGTCGGGTTGGCATCTCTTTTTTTTTTTTTTTTTTTTTCCTTTTTTGCTACAGGATGAAAAATATTGGACAAGGCGAAAGAAGAACAATGTGGCAGCAAAGCGTTCCCGTGATGCTCGGCGATTAAAGGAGAATCAGATCACAATTCGGGCAGCCTTTCTTGAGAAAGAGAATACGGCCCTGAGGACGGAGGTTGCAGAGCTGCGCAAGGAAGTGGGACGATGCAAGAACATTGTTTCTAAATACGAGACCAGATACGGACCCTTGTAAGCACACCCCTTTTCCTTGTTAGGGCTCCTTGTTTTAGCCTCTTAGACTTCTCTGCCTTCTGTAGAGACTCCCAGAAATAAAGTTTGTGGAGGCTTTGCCATTTTGCATCTACACACAAAAAAAAACCCCAAACCCTGTTTCTGTGCACAACTTGTTCAGGCCCTTTCCTGATCATTGTGTTGCCCAAAATCTTAGTGTCCATATTTACAGCTTTTTGGTTTTAACACTGATAGACTATTTTCTGATGTCATACAGTAGAACAGATTCACCTGTCTGGAGGAATAGATGTGGATCCCTCCTGACTGGACAGGGCTTTTGCTATCTGTTCTAATCTCAATTTTAAGTGGAGAAAGAGCCTAGGAGACTCTCCTTGCTTTTTTCTTTTTTTTGTTTTCTTTTTTTTTTCTTTTTTTTTTTTTTCCCCCCCCCCCCCCCCCGAGTCAAATTGTAAAACATAATTTTAAGATATAAGTAGATGTTGCTGGGCAGCATCATGGAATTATTTCCTCTCCCATTCAGAGGCACTAGAAAGTACCTATTGTATAGAACTCCTGTTCCTGTTGAAGAGGAATAGGGGAACCTTTAGGACAGGAAGAGAGGAAAATATTCAATCTTTTATAAAAACTGAGATATCTCGAGGTTAATGCACAAGTGTTATGCAGACCAGAGTCAGTGCAGTGTTGATAAAAATACTGCTCAAACATCTTGGTAGGTTCTAATCCTGGATAACTTCCAGAAACCAAGGAGAGAGAACAGTAGGGGATCTCTCACTTTACAGATATGGACAAATAATTTGCTGTGAGTTTTAGGCTGTATTTCTACCACCACCCCTTCTTTTTTTCCTTAGAGGGACTTCTCTCTTGAACTGCTGATAAAGCAGTATGTTACACTTAACTGAGAAGTAAGGGAGATTTAGAAAAAGAGGTCTGGCTTGTTAGGCTGAACCTTGAGGCCCACCTGTTAAGGAACTGCCAGTACCTTATGCTTTGGAAGAAAGCTTTTTTTTTTTTTTTGCAAAAGCAAAAAAGCTTTTGCTTTTTTTTTTTTTTTTAAGTAACAGACAAACAAGCCACTGTTACTTTACTGCACCTTACCTGTTGTACAAGAGCTTGAGAAGGAGTTTTGGTCCTTTGCCTTGTGAACACTCTGAGGAACAAGCTACACCCACTCTAAAAATGAACAGTTTACCTCACTGTCTCCTGTGTAGCAGCATATCTGGTCTCTCCATGCCTGCTGGTTCTCTCTCCAGCATGTTTCCTGTTAGAAAATTAGCACACAAGACTTGCCCTCTTGGAAGTAATCCATTCTCAGCACCAAGCGCTGCTTCAACAGTACGTGGTGTTAAAAGAAAAATGTTATGTGTGATGTTGGGACCTTCTACATGACCTACAACTGCAAGAACCAGAAGCTTTAACAAAAGTATATGTCTAGAAGTCCTCTTAACAAGAGAAGCTATCTTAAGATAGTGGCTGTGTCAGAACTCTTAGGCTATACTTCCCTAATATTTATATTAGGGAGTAAATGTGGGATATAAGATGTTTAGGCTAGTTGCCAGTTCCCCTATTGAAATCTGAAAAGTATATTAAAAAAGCATTGGGGTTTCTTTTCTATACTAAAGACTTCATGCCTAGCTTGTCTTTTAAATGTAATGTGGAAATTGGTATGAGTTTAGACCAATCGTGTGTTGACTTCTTAAGGAAGTGGAGAAGCAGGCTCATCCAGAACACTTAAAGTAAATGTATGCTTTGAACTATTTCCCCCTCTGTTATGCTCTTAATTTGTAGAGTGTCTCTTCATGAAGTGTTGGTCTAATTACTTTCAGACATACTAAAAATTGTCACCCTTTCAGCAGGGGTTTTTCTTTCACAGGGTGGTGTGTGGTGGTGATGGTGGGAAGTATGTTATAAATAAATTGTCACACTTAACACTTTGCTTTGTTTAAAGTGACTTATCTGATTCCGAGTGATGCAACTTTAAAGACTTTTAAAAACAAAGAAACTAAAAAGCACACATGAATCGCCAGTCTTCAGAGTGAGCAGTGAAATCTGAGGTGTCCCAACACAAACAACTGATGATGACCCTGCCTGCCTGCTTGCCTGCAAGTACCCCATCTGAACTACCCAGGGCTGGGCATGATGAAAAGTGCAAAGTCTCCTTAATTCTGTATATGGCTTTCTTATCTGTCTTTCTCACTGTAACTATGAACTACAATAAGCTTACTTGTCGGGGTTTTGTCAAGACACTCGAAGTTCATGTCTCAAAGTCTGTTGATAGCCTGTGTGAATAGTGACTCCTTGTTTTGGCACAAAATGGGAAGAAAATGAAAGTGTCTGTATATATTAAGAACTGCTATATCTTAAGACTTTTTTCCCTGCAGTACAATGAATTTTATTTAATACTGCAGCTCACTTCTGGTACAGTGTAGCATCTTGTGGAGTACTGTGAGTGCAGAATTGAAGGACGCCAGGAAAACAGCAGTCTGTGATGTGTGAGACTTCCAGTGCAGAAAAGTAGAGCAGATGTATTGAAACAATCCAGAAAGCACCACAGCGTGCCATACAAAGAGTAGTAATAAATCTCTATCAAATGACCCATGTAATGGTAAAACACTTTGGTTGCTTTCCTGCTCCACGGCTACACTGCTGTAACCTGCCTTTTCCTTTGTTTCTTTTATGAGGCTCACTTTCTTTTATGGTATCTTGCTGAAACAAGATCTATTCTTCTGCTAACAATTTAGCAATCGTGGAAAAGGTGCTAGTCTGAGCTGCTGATCCCCGTGTCTTTTGGCAGTCTGAAACTACCAAATGAGTATTAGCTCCAGCAAAACAATGGCTGTAAGCTGCCATATTACAATTTTCTGTCTCTTGACTACATGAGAACTGTGGTGGCGAAAGAGTACTTTGTTCATCTGTTTTATAAAACAGAAACAGCCAGTGATTTCCCACAGTTACAATGGGCAGCTTAAGTATCGAGACCCTTGTGCTGGTGTGGGTGAGTAGATGAAATCTTGGACAGATTGCAGGGATGTTTATTGTGTGTAATAGATGAAAGAAGTAGGTGGAAGTTCCTTTGTAAGAGTTTCATCAGCATAACAAGAATCTACTCTTATATTGAGGAAGCTTAAGAGCGAAGTTTGTGTAGGAAGAAAAAGAGTACTTAATTTCTGGGAAAGTAGCAGAGGGCCATGCTTGTAGCCAAAATGGATCTTGTAAGACAGTAGTTTATTTATGCCTGGAGATTGATAAACAGCATACACCTCAAGAAAAATAATCTTGAAAGCTTTCAGAAGCACAAGTGCTGAAATTACGAGGCACAACTAGTTACCAGCAAAGCTCGACACTATCATGTTGAACAAGTATTTTGACTTTGCATTTACCCAAGAGATTCCACCCCTAGTTTCAGAGCAAAAAGGCAAAGAGAAAAAGGTGCAAAGAAGCAGCTAATGTTGTAAACTTCATTTAAAAAAAAACAAAAAACAATAAAAATCTCAAAACCTAGAATTCATAACCATTTTTTTGAAGGCATAACCTTTGTAAAGACCGTATACATTAAATGCAGTTATTGACCTATTATTTTTAATGGACCATGTTCTGAAGTCAAGAAAGTGCTCTTAACTTTTTTGCTGGTTACAAAAGTATAATTATGAGTGTATTATTATAATTTGGGATTCTCAAGCTCTGAGATAATCTTGGGGTATTCTCTTCAAACAGATGAATAGTTTAGCTCCATGTTGCTGAAATGTCAGCATATATCTCTATCTGTATCAAGTATTGGTGATTTGGACTGATATTTGATATTTTTGGTATGTGCTGTTTTTTGTTGTTTTATTTTGGTGATAAAGGCCAAACCACGGATTTAAAAAAAAAAAACAAACAACAAAAACAAACAAAAAAACCCCAACCACACACATCCAAAAAACCCAAACAACCAACCCTGACAGCATGTAAATGTAGCAACTCTTTTTGCATTTATAACTTCTAAATTTTCACTTAGCTTGAATGGCTGCTCTTGAAAGTCATGCTTCCTGTTTAAATCACAAAGCTAAAGGGTATTGTAACTGGGCAAGGAGTTGCTAGTCCTTCATCTGGGTCTTGATGTCTTACTGCTTTAGGAATATCTTTTAAATACTTACATATTGTATACAGGATTTGGTTTTTCAGTATGTCATGCTATTTTAACAGCGAAATATTCAGTCAGTGAGAATAGTATGTGCAATTCTGTTAGCTTTTTCTGTTGTATTAAAAGCTTACACAATGGAAACTAACAGTGAATGTTCACTAGATCTTTCTTTCAGAGAAGACTGTTAGCAAACTCTTGTGCTTCCCTGTAGGACGGTGCAAATTTGCACATTCTGTGATTCATATGTCTACGGGTTGCAAAACTGGAAAATTGCACTTGAGGGTGAGTGCAGCTTAACTTTTGTAGTTGGAGAATTTTTTTTGTTAAGAAGCAACATCTTCAAAGATAGATGAGAAGGTAGTAACTATTTAAAGGAGTGTAGGTATTGCCAGACAAAAAATTATGTGCAATGCTGAATTCCTTTCTCAGTTTTTGCGGTCTCAGGAAGTTAAGCTTACTGCTTCAGAGCTCTCTGCTCCTCTCGGAACAATTAACTATATATAATCTTGTTTCTTTGACTAGGATGACAATCCTATCCATAAGTGATAACTTGGGTACGTTTTCATAGTGGTCATAAGACCAATATTCTTTTAGCTCAGTTTGAACGTTAAAAGATGCTGAATTGACTCTGTTAGAGTCTGAAATTCTCTAACCTTGGAACATACTCTGTAGAGGCCATAAGTGTGCCTGATGCCAATGTACCCCATTCCAGCCATAAAGGGACCATCTCCAAGGGGAGAGAATAAAGGGAGTGCACCTTTCAGCATCACTGCAGGGACTGCCAGTAAAGGGAGCAGTTTTTGACACAGCTGTACATTCATTAGGAAGTGGATTGACACCAAATGGCCATTTCACAGTACTAACTTTGAAAATACATGAACTGTTGATGAGATTTGTGGGCAATGAGTGTTGTCTTATTCTACAGAAGAGACAGGCTTTGAATAAATGATGCGCAACATTTAATACAGTATTGCTTTCATACATGGTCTTCTAATCTACACACAGTTCTATCTCCTTATAATAATGCATTTTTGTATTTAAAAATTCCCTAGAAGCTTAATCTTTCACCTGTTGCCAAGATCTGCTCCCACTGAAACCAGTAACAAAGATCTCATTAACTCCCACAGGAAAAAGTCTTTACTCTCACATGGTTATCACAAAGTTTTAGCAAGCACTGGAGTCATGGGTGTCTTTGCTTTACTCTAGAACATTCTGTGTTGGGATCAGGTGGATATAGCTCAGATTGAAGGTGTAATGTTGGTAAACTGGTCCTATCACTTGTTCATTTACACAGTTAGTGATAGTTTTTATATTCAGATAATATGAATTCTACTTTTTTTTTTTTGCCCTGCATGGACAGGGTGGAAAAAGTAGTGTGCTATAAACTTGTGCTGGGATAAGAACTGTGGGTTTGGGTTTTTTTTTAAAAAAAAAGTTAAATGTAGCTTTTTGCAGTACTTCTAGTAATATTTTCTTTCTTTTCTGACAATTCTCCATTTCCCTGCTGTGTTGCTTGAAAGCCCAAGGTGTTGTAGCTGTAGAAATCACTTTCAGCATTATCTGCAGGACTGCTACTAGTTGCACCAAATTCATTTCAAGTTAGGAAGTGCAGTGGAAGGCCAGCAGCTTTGGGAATACTGTAATAAAACCACTTGTGTGGAAAAATATTTTTGTGTAGACAGCAGAAATAATGGACTCGCACAGAAGAGAATATTGTTGCTTCAGCCTTGTAAGCCTCCTCAGCATAACAGGGCTTTGTTCCTTGTGATCAGATGCCTTCCTTTATAGTGAGAGTGGAGGTATCTTGGACCTTTGTAAAATCCAGATAGGCTTTTGTTCACCCTTACGGCTTTAGCTGCTAAGCACAAGATGAGAAAAGCAAATTTGTCTTAATGCATAAATCTCATTTTTTTGGCAACCTACATCTAAATCCATAAACAGCATAAACCACTGGTTAATGCTAGTGTTTTGCCTTTGCAGCACTACAAGACACTGGCTGGCTTTCTAGATTTTCAGTTAATTACTCTGACCTGTATATCTGCCACTGTAACGTGGTGAAGATAGATAAACTCGCAGTGAAAGACTGGGGAAAAGGTAGAAAGAATAGGCTTAACTAAACTTCTGTGGAGATGCTAACATAACGCTAATTGAGAAATTGCAATGGTTTAATTCATGATAATGCAAATTTGTCATATAGAATGTAATTTGTTAGTTTGATAGCATGCTATCGCCTAGTTGAGACACTTTTGGAATGCAAACTTAAAAGTTCAAGCAGCTACAGGAGAAAGGGAATCCTTTGAGGAAGATACATGTATAGATAAACATACAGATACTTGGCAAGGAGAGTAAAGAATGAAAGCAGGAAGAGAAGAGTAATGCAAGAGCATGACCTGAGCCAGACTGCTAAAACTGAAGCCTCACTGTTTACAATTTTAGGACAATTTGGATCCCCTCAGTTTAGCATCATACAGAAGATATGTACTTGTTTAGGTTTTGGGAATCTCCTTTTCTTGATCTCATTTCCACAGTCCAGAAGAAAGTGAAAGGAATATACAGATAGGGAGGAGGGTTTCTGCAGAAAGGCATGAAAAAATAGCTATTGCTTTAACTAAGTGCACTGTTGCACTAGGACTTGACCTGCCGATGTGAACTGATAGTGCTGTGTCGTGAGGAAATTACTATCTGAGGCCCCAATATTTTAAGGCCTCAATTCTGCTGTCATTTCTGCATGGGATGAGCCCTGTATCTGTAGAGAACCATGTGGACTTCACAGGATCTGTTCTTGAATGTGAAGCTCTGCCCAGGCAGTCAGATGCAGAATTGTGTCCTTAACACGTGATCAGTTGTAGTTACAAGGCTGTTGGTATGAAGTGTAATTTGGGTGCCTGTTACATAGCCAAAACCCTTGTTACTTCATTTTCCCAACTAAGGCATGAGCGGAAGCCCTTCGCTGTACAATGTCTGTTTTAAAAAAAAAAAAAAAAAAAAAAAAGTACTTCACATATGTCTAGTAAATTAAGGCATGTGATTTTGGTCTGTGGGTCTCAACAAACTTTGCTTGTGTACCTGCCTGAATGTTTTCTTAGATCTGCAGCTATGTCTCAGTGAGAAGGTATGGTGGGATTTGTTTTCCTGAGGGGGCACAATAGCAGCTCTCATCTGTCACACTGCGGGTGACCGCTTGCTACCGGCCAGGATCATGGATGGATGCATCCTCTGCACTTTTATGTGAAGTTGTCTGAAATATGGTGATTAACATGATTATTGGAATACTGTATTTTGTATAACTTAGAACATGTAAATACACTTTTAAAACTAATCTGTTCTATGAAGTAATAAATAAGTGCTTCCATTGTAATATCTGAATATTGTTAATGCTTTATGTAGCTTGATTTGGGATTATTTTTTTCCTAGAGAACTACAGAAATCAAAACAAAGATTGATGTTGTGGAATGCTAGTCTAGTTGTGACGCTTTCTATCAACAAAAAAATGTTTTAAAAAATAATAATGAGCTACTTAAGCAGAGAAACTGAGAATTTGAGGGAATTGATTCTCTTCCGGTCTGTCTTTACCAGTAGTCACTGATGACATTCATAATTGTACTCTTCCCATCCCATTAGCTGGACAGTTGATTTGTTGTTTTTGAGTAGTACTTGGAAAGTGGCAATATTAAATTATTTGTAAAGCTTAGTGATTGAGGAAAATTAAAGTTTGTGGGGGTTTTTCTTTTTTAAACTATACTCTCTTTTGGCTTAAACAGATCTGTCTTCACCCTTCAGCCAGACTGCAGCAAGTTGCAATGAAACAGTGAGTGACTGTCACTGAAGCTCATTTGTCACCTAGATAGTCTACATCTTTATCAGTTCTTTTATGTACATAGATGACACAGGTATCCTGTTGTGGTGTGGAGAGAGAGAAAGTGATTAATGACTTGAGGTTTTGCTGAGTACATGTTCACTGGATGCTGCACAGCTGGAACTTTCATCAGCTTTCATGACCTTTTCTATCTTGTGTTAAAAGAGGAAAAAAACAGTGGAGTGAGAATTATGAGCAGTCTGTTAGGAAATATGAACACTTGGGTTTTGAGGAGGAGGTGAGATTGATCCATCAGCCTTCATCTAAAGAGATTAGCCTGTGATGACACTTTCTCTAGCCATAATGTAATTTCTTTGTCTTTAATGCCGTACTGGAGCAGCCTCCTCTCTGCCAACAGCTGCGTCTGCAGTGTTCCATAAATGACAAAGCCACAACATCTTTTGTAGTGGGCAGAGATGGTGGCATCTTTTTTTTTTTTTTTTCCCCTTCTTTTTTCCCTCCCCTCTCAGTGTCTCTAGGCTGTAAAATAACTATGAAACAGCTAAGCATATGTGTGAGTTATTCAGAAAACTCTGCTCCTGTAAAGCTTTTTCAGAGACATACAGTTTTTAACTAAATAGTTGGAGGGAACTCCTATCTGCTATATTTGGCCTGAAATTATGTTGCCTCTTGGATAGAAGTATTTTTTTGGCTTCAGATGTGACGCTGATCTGTCCCATTCATTCAGTGGGATGGATGATAAATCTGCACAGTATTTATATAAGATACAAATCTGATCTTAGTTTTACTGCATGTTAAGTTCTTTAATCTCTTGGATGTCTACTCCTTGAGGTTGTCTATATAATTCCTGTAAATGTAGCTGCTTTTTGAAGCAGTCCATCAAGTGCATTTGAGATCATCCTGACTGAAAGATTCT